GGGGGGGGGCTAATGAACTCTTCTCTCCTCGCAGAAAAACACGGAGCAACTTTCTGCAGCGCGTGTTGTCGAAACCGTTCGACAACACGCGCTGCACACGTGAACCCGTCTGTGGGCGTCACCAGCACCATAGACATAATTATACATAGATTAGGTACGGCAGCTCTATACAGCTCTGGGTGTAATCTGGGTGTAGTCTGTTTGTCATATGTCTGGTGTTTTACCTGCCTGCATGCTGAAACCACGTGACACGTTACAGCCGATACCGAAACTTGACACCGAAAGAAGAGTGACGTTTCAATACATACACCGACTGGTGCAGTTCGGTCGGTGCCATAAAAAAAATCTCGGTTCAGTACTCAGCCCTATGCATGAGATGTCATCAAATCAACCAATGCAATGTTACGCTTCCACAGCAACACAAAATATTGTTAGAAATCTCTGGAAGCTTCAAACATATTTCACTCTGCTGTACTTTCACATTTCTAGCACAGTGTTAACTGATTTTCTTTCTTTTTCATTTTTCCAATATATAGTATTTCTTTCATTATTTATTGTTCCCCTTTGGGAAATGTAACGGTAAAAACTGAGCTGAAAAGAACAGAGCAAAATTAGGTAACTGCTGTGATTAACTATCTAGCTGCACAATTTTGCACTTTGTTGTTTTTTTCCAGGATAAACTAAAGATATGCACTCTGGATTTGTTATTAAAAGTGACTAATGCAAAGAACAAACAATTCAGCAAAGAAAAAATATTCTGTTAGTTATATATTCAATTTTTTTTTTATTCTTCTACTTTTGGTTGCTCCCTTCTTCAGAGGTTGCCACAGCGAACTACATAAGTTGCACAAAGGCTTGGCAATAGTTTTTACGCCGGATGCCCTTCCTGATGCAACCACAGACCACCGAACTACCACAGGGAGCCCACAGGGAGCCCGGGCGAGCAGATGGTGGGTGTTAAAGGCCTTGCTCAGGGGCCCAAAGTGGAGCCAATGAGGGTGGAGGCAGGTGTGGGTGCTTAACCTATCCCACCCACATTTTGACGTTATCGGTACCGGGCGTTGAACCAGCGAGCTTCCAATCACAGGTCCACCTTCTCTAATCTCTGCGCCACCACTCCTTATATATTCAAACTTAATTAACTTAACTAATAAGCACACAATACATGTAAATACATAATGATCATCCTAATGTTGACACTTCCTATTTATTGATTCTTTTCGTGCTTATTTATTAAAATATTAAAAGCATAACAATAAGCCACTGCTGAAACAAAAACATGTTGACTGCAATTGTCACAATTTTTCCAAATTTAAATTTATCTTAGCCTTTTGACAACTCTCTCATGCCAAAAAAATAAACAAAACTTACAAAAAACAACCTCTATGTCTAGGTTACGTAATACCTCTGGCCTGAATATAATCAAACATTTCCATTTAGGAAAAAAGTGAACATAATCAATGCATAATGCTATATAAGTATTTATCATTCACTTAAATTTAGTACATGTAAACCTTTTCAGGGCCTAACTCTATAAAAGAGACATAAACACAGCTGATAATGGAGAACTGGGAGGGATTATCTGTTCATATATATATATATATATATATATATATAATCATTATTAATAAGTGCAACAGTAACAAAGTTTAAGCATTGTTTTAAGCATTTTGTAATGGAAAAACTATTCCATACATGTCTACACAAATTACAACAGGATAAAACAATAATAATTAAACTTTTTGCCCAGAGAATTGTGAGACATGTGAACAAAAGTTTATTTACATAACGAAAAATTAAGGAAAAAATGTAAAGGAAGAAGTGCGACCCCTACACGCCATGAAAAAAACAAGGCTGCTTTCATGATTAATGATACACCAATTCGTTTTCCTTACCATTGTAGCTTAAAAAAACTTGAGCATTTTTTGTTGTTGTTGCTTTATTTCATTTATGCTAGTAGCTAAGTTTTATTAATGCCACGATATTACTTTACACAGACATTATTGCAAAGCTGAATTGAGCAGGAATGTTCTAAATTGTAAACATTAATTGGTCGTTTCCTTACACAATGACACAAAAGACGACTTATTCTTAGACATACTAGAAACACAAGCATTCTGCAATAATAAAGGTAAACGCAGATGCAAAAAGAACAGCTAATTGACAATAAAACAGCTGAGTTTTCTTTACTTACCGAACTGTAATCCGATGCTCTGACCATGCACCTACCAAAACAAATGTTACTTCCGTGTTTCCTGAGGTGGCGTCATAACATTCGCTATCCTCATTGGTCAAGACTCAACAAGCATGGTTCTGATTGGATAGAATGCACCCGAACGTTAAAGGCGTCGCCATGTTACTTGCAATATGGCAGCTCCCTTGAGCAGTGTGAGCAAAACCTCAGCTGAACGTTTACCGATTAATACTACGAGCTTTCAGAAGAAAACCAGGAGCAAGTTAATCTCCATACCCGGTACCAGACCTTCGGTTCAAAATGGACAGCTCTTAGTTTCGACCGGCGTCACGTCGCTCGACTATCTGCTCGGTCAGTGTCAAGATGCTACACAGGCTAACAGGTTTATTCATCATTATCACCCAGGTGTACAAGAAGCCAACATGTTTTTCTTCTTACTTCTGTAGTTAATTTAGTATATTTTCCTCTGTCAACACACTGGGTCACTATTGACTGGCGTAATGTAAAATAAATCTGGTTTTCTTTTCCCTAACTGCACTTTTAAATATAGCTACCTCACGCATGGGAAGGATTTATCTCAAATACATGCAATTTAGAAACGTTTACATCTATATTAATAACTAAAATAAATAATTTTAAATGTACAATTTATGAATAATTTGTGTATTTATCATAAGAGACATCAATGACATTTTTCTAAACAAGTGTGCTCAGTTTTCCAGGTTTAAACAGGTGGACGAAATCAGAAAATGTAAATTTTACTGTGATGAAAGTCGAGACAGGAAAAAAAAACTATGTAATATGTTACTCATGCAGCTTTTTCTGCTAACAGGTGGTGGGTTAGCAGTTGGAACAGTGCTTCTCATTGGTGAGCCTATTTTTCAAATTTCACATCAACTGGCTATTTTCTAAACTTGATTAATTTCCTGTTTTGCTGTGCTTTAGAGAATTCAGTGTTTAAAGGTGGTTTTATTACTTCTTTGGATGAAGACTGATGTGCTCTGTTTTCACTTTTGTGAAAAAGTCTTCTATGGCTCCACAGATAGCTTGTCTGACCATCACACATGCAGCTTAAAACTCAGCCTCATAAATCCATCCGTCCATTATCTTTACCCACTTATTCTTTTTGAGTCACGGGGGTCACTGCTGTCCATGTCCAGCTATCACTGTGTGAGAGGCGGGGTACACCCTGGACAGGTCTCCAGTCCATCACAGGGACAAATGAGACAAACAACCATTCACTCTCACTCACACCTAGGGACAATTTAGAACACATATGTCAAACTCAAGGCCCGTGGGCCAAATGTGTTCCTCGTTGCCATCTTATCCAGCCCCCAAGATAATATGTTAAACGTAAAACAGTTTTATCACTTGATTTTTTCAGTAATCGTTGATTATGGTGTTGAAAGTGCAACAGAGAACATCAAATGAGACCAATTAAACTTTTGTTGAGGAACCTGCAACCATGAAAAGATGTTGGATATCTAACTTGAGTTTATGTAGATTCTGAAACTGGCCCTTATTTTGAAAAAAGTTTTAAATTTGGCCCCCATTTGTGAGTTTGACACCCCTGATTTAGAGTTGCTAATCAGCCTAACATGCATGTTTTTGGTCTGTGGGAGGAAACCGGAGTACCCGGACAAAATCCAAGTATGCATGGAGAGAACATGCAAACTCTACCCAGAAAAGCCCCTGGACCGGTGTTTGAACCAAGGACCTGCTCGCTGAGAGGCAGCAGCTCTGCCAGTTGCGCCACCGTACTGCCCCTCATAAAGTAAAGTATAGTGCTATGTGTTGACATCATTGTATTTTCCTTTACAATGATCATGAAATTAGTTCTCTGCATTTAACCCATCACATAAGAGATACACCCAGGTGGAGCAGTGGGTAGCTCTGTAAGTGCCCAGGGAGCAGTTAGGAATTGGGTGTTTTGCTCAAGGACACCACGATATGTGGGCATGGTGGGGAATTGCACTTGTGACTTTCTGGTCCGAAGTTGGCTGCCCTACCTCTACAACATTTCGGCCTCTAAGAAATCTAAACATATTTAAAACAATAATGTCTGAATATAAGGATTTGAAGCATATAATTTGCCACATGGCCATTGAAGGTGGCTACATGTTTCTTTTGGTAGCCCTTGACTTTTCAAACAAAAATGGTTTATAAGAAATAAGTTATCACTCACTGGTAAAGCAAAAATGTTGACAATTTGCTTTAACTGAAGTGTTCATGTCAAATGTAAGCGCAAACTAAAATACACACATTTATAGATAAAGTGGCACTTCATAAAAAGGTGGAACTCTACATTAAGGCTGAAACAGTTTGCCATTAGTTTTGTAAAAAAAATAAAATGAATAAATAAAATACAACATTGTTACTGAGCAACATTGGCAAAACAATGAATTTAAGAACCGGTGGTGACTATTCAGACAACGTTGCACTGTCTTTCACAATTAGGATTGAATGTTTTTGGTTGATTTAGAGCATTTGTGCAACTTCTGTGCATTGTCAAAAGGTTTTAAGGAATCTGTCTTAACTAATTTACTCAAGTTTATATGTTGTCATGAAGAGCATAATCTCTTCATGTTTTAGTTGCTGAACCTAGAACCATAAAGAAGAAGAAAATAGGTTTGACAAATTATAGCTGATGTCTGTACTCCTGTGTACACATCATGTCATCTACTATATTTAGAAACGGGCATATATATTTGGACACCGAAACAATTTTAATTTAATATTCACCTAAAAATATTCTAGATCGTTCTGTAAGATTATATAGGGTATTTTTACACAAAAAGTAGCATATTTAGAATCATGTAAGATGCTCCTTTATTACTTTTTGCTGCGTAAAAAAAACCTAATAAAAGTTATGCCATTGATTTAGTCTCATTCTTATCCAGAACAAGAACATTTAATTGATTACAGAAAAGGTAAATATATTCAGACTTTTCAAGTCAAATGAAGAACAGGCTTCTGCCTCTTTCACATTAATATTTAAGAGTTAACAGAAAGAGAAGATCTAATCAAAGGAAATGTTGAAATCTTATGACAAGGTCCTAACCCTTAAACTTCAAAATGAGAAATGCCAAATTAGACTTGTTCAAAACCCTCCAAGAAAACAAGAGTAAAGTAAAGGAAATTGTGTGTTGTCATCAATACAATGATGAAATTAGTTCTCTGCATTTAACCAATCACACCTGAGATATGCCCATGTGGAGCAGTGGGCATCTATGTAAACGTCCGAGGAGCAATTAGGGATTTGTTGTCTTGCTCAAGGACACCACAACATGTGGGAATGGCTGGGAGTCGAACCATGACTTTCTGGTCCCAAGTCGGCTGTCCTACGTCTAGACTGTCTTGGCCCCTATTCTACTGGAGACTATAATCTCCAAAACACAAAAAGTACATTTAAGGTGGCGTTTACCTACGATGTAACAGAAGACAAAGTAGCTAGATGAAGCATTATTGCATATCAACAACTATTTAGCTCTTAGCTCAAACTATTAAATGTTTTGGGATATTCCCAAAGGGCAAATAGTGAAAAAACGAAATGGATCATTTTGAAAGTAGCGTCTATATGTTTAATTTACCGAGTCAGGCACTTGATCTAAAGAAAATCAAACTTTTTGTGCACAAAATGGCAACATTTATGACAATGGTCCAAAAACAAATAATTCCTAAAGGCGACGTCCATGTTTACCTGTTTCTGCATTGAACTGATTCATGGCAACATATTATAAATTAACTTTGTTCAATGTTAAGAATTCAATTATATTTTTCATATTTTTTTTGTCGAGTTACATTTGACCCTGTACTTCAATTTTTATATCAGTGTCTTCAAATTAAAGCAGTCAAAGCCCATTTTCAGTATATATTAGAAATACCTCCGGTTGCTGCTCTCTCCTGAAACATTAGTTGTCTTTCTTTAGAAAGTGTTTATGCTACTGTCATTAATAAAGTTTTACGAGTTCTTGTTCTCTAAGGAATTGCAATGCAATCATTACTAAATGTCTACTCCATTTCTAAAACTGAAATTGTCTACTTTTCAGGAACCCACAACTGCTGTGAATGTGGCTTTGTGTGGTTAGTCTGCTACTTTCTAGCAGACTTACTAATAGACTAATGACCTGAAGGTCTCTAGTTAGAATCCCAGGTGTTCACACTTTTAGCGTGATACTTAATTAATATGTTCATCTACAAATGTGTTACAGAAGTTTTCTGAATTTCATAAAAAGTAAGTGGGTTTTCTAGGGGACTAAATGTTTTCTACTGTATTATTATTATTATTATCATTCATCGTAGGCTAGGCTATATGCACTGGTGGACAGTAAGGTTACGGTAGTCATGTTTCCCCTTGAAGCTGTAATTTGTGTGTAGCCAAGGCCTATACCAACTGATGATATTGCTTTGCCCTTTAATTCATCCCCCCAATCGATGCAGGAGTCAGTGATTACACACTAATGCGTTCTTCCCTTCCATTTTGTGAATCAATGTACGGTTGGTTTCATCTGGTAATGAGAGACACAGTAAAGGTGAAATGCGTGTGTGTGCACTCTCTCATGTGTTTGTCTCTGAAAAAGCTGTGTGTGCGCGCAATAAGTGTCTGTTTTGTTGTGTGGGTGGGTGGAATAGCGGTGATGGGGCAGTGGGGGAGTTTGGAGCGTGTGTTTTGTTTGTGTTTGTTTCAGGCGGTCGTCTCCTACAGTCTGCCCCTTTAGCCGTGATGGCCTGTTTTGTGAGACGCAGACATAAAATTATCAGACTGGTCATTGTCCGCCTTTGAAGCGTCTTGAGCTGTCTATTCTGATTTGTCATCCAGAGGGGGATCAGTCCAGTATGGCTGCTGTCTGAAGATCTCTCATCTCTTGTTGTTTTGCAATAAAAACAAAAAAGCTGCCCTGCTTGTGTTATAGTGATCATTTATGGCGTTGTTCCTTTAGGTTATGTATTTTAATTGAAATTTATGAATGTATGCTAATTGTTTTATGTGCTTTACATGAATTTAAAAAATGCATAATGGTTCAGGAGAGTACTTGACAGCCTCAAAGTTACTGACGAGTCAAATGTGTAATGAAGGACTTTCTGAGCCAGTCTGCTCAGCTGATATTTTGTTCAAAGGAAAATGAACTGCAATGTTAAATAAAAAGAGAAAAGAAGAGGACAATAAAACAACTTTAAGATAATAATATCCGGATGCATGCTCAAAAATCCAGGTAGAAAAATCTAAAAAAAAAGTTAAGTCAGGTCCTCTGTATGGGTTCATCCATCCATTATCTTTTACCCACTTCTTCCATTTTGGGTCACGGGGGTCGCCGGTGCCCATGTCCAGCAATCGCTGTGCGAGGGGCGGGGTACACCCTGGACGGGTCGCAAGTCCATCACAGGGACACATAGAGACAAACGAGACAAACAACCATTCACTCTCTCACTCACACCTAGGGACAATTTAGAGTTACCAATCAGCCTAACATGCATGTTTTTGGTCTGTGGGAGGAAACCGGAGTACCCGGAGAAAACCCACGCATGCACGGAGAGAACATGCAAACTCCACCCAGAAAGGCCCCTGGACCGGGATTTGAACCAAGGACCTGCTCGCTGAGAGACGGCAGCTCTACCAGTTGCACCACCGTGCTGCCCTGGATGGGTTCAATTTAAAATAAAAAATTAAAAAATGGTAGAAACGTTTCTGAAGAAGTCTTTTCGGATGAAAGACGAAACATTTCTCTAAATTTGTTTTAATTAAACCCATCCAGAGGACCTGATTAACTCTTTTTATATAACAATATTTGACTTATACATTACTTTTGAATGTGATTTCTTACTGCTCCATTAGATAATCAGTAGAACTTCAGTAAGAACAAAAACTGTATGTTAATAAAAAGAATGTTAAACTTGCTATCTTTGGGTGCACTGATAAATCGGCCGGCCAATTTATGGCCCAGATTTCCTTAATTTTGGGAAATCGGAAATCGGCTGATGCATGAGAAACCGATTTTTTTCGATTTTATTTTTTGTTTGTTTTAACAACAATTTTATGAACTTAATTTATATTTCAGAGCAATACCTCACGGCCAAGTTTGAATTGTTTAGAGGATATTGTTCAAGGGTATGTTTTTCAATAAAATAAGATTGGAAAATTGAAGGTGCATTGTGACCTTATAACACCTAACAGTGTTGCTTATAAAACACATGGGTATCGGCCAAAATCAGAATCGGCAGGTCAGACTTTTTAAAAATCGGTGATTGGCCAGAAAACTGCAATCGGTGCACCCCTAGTATAAATTTTGAATTAGACATGTTTACTTTTGATGTAAAGCAACCCGATATGGTGAAATTAAAACTGATTTGAATTTGAGTGTTACCTTTGTAATTTTAATTGAATTTTCATCTTACATGCTGCATACAAATCAACTAAACTGCAAATTAGAAAAAAATAAGTTGTACACCAAAGACAAACCTATGGTAGACATTCTGACCTAGATCTTTTCTCTCTATGCCCTGCAGCTTTAACATGTGATTCAGAACCTTTGCACTCCCATTTGTTTCAAGGCAAACGAAGCAAAGGCATCCCTACCTTTATAGAACCCTAATCAAAAATAAATGAATAAAACAATAAATAACAAATATTCTGACTGTCCAGAGTGACAGATCTACCTCAATGATATGACCGTCCCCCCACTCCCTGTTGCTCCTATAGCCCACCACCTCTCGCCCCCTCCTCATACCCCCTGCCTCAACAGCCTAATGACTCCTGGAGGTTCCATTTGTAAGGCTCCCATAGAAACACAACCACAATAGGCCCCATCTTGAGAGGGCCCATCTGGGAGTCTTTGTGGGGCCTGCTGAAAGCCACAAAGGCCTGCTGACCTAGAAACCCATCAATAAGAGAACAGGGAGCCCCACCGACAACAAATTGAAGAGCCGTGGAATTTCCTGAGCCATCCGAAGTCCGTAGGTGAGGACGTGGACTGGTAATGTGGGAGGGAGGGTGGGGGGGATTCTCTGGATGTTTGAGGATGACACATCAGGATGTCATTCCCAAGCTGTCAGCTGTATGCTCATTACCTCAGCTGTCACTGCTGCCTTTGTCCATGTGCCCACTGTTTATCATTGTGAAGAAAAGCCTATGAAATCTTTACAAAAGTGTGACAGTGACAGGAAGCAGCAGTGGCATGCTGGGCAGAGTTATGTGCCCTGCTCAGCTGGGTTTAATCATGGTGATAGTATTTTTTTTATTTATTTTTGCTTTGGGGTTTAGATTGGGAATAGTTGAGTGGCTGTTATGTACAAATGTCAATGCTATCTAGAGGAAATTATCTTGGCTCTATAGAATATTTTATTTATTTATTTTTTGCTTTTTAATGCCTGAGACCCTCTTTTGTCATATCAAGTCATAAGCTGGAATTTATCGTCTAAAATGACTTACTTTCTTAAAAGTAAACTTGTGAATGACCTCCTTAAGAAGGCAAACAAAAGTACAGGGATTCAAGTAAGTCAAATGTCAGGAAGCATTTCGGGCACCACAACTATCATATCCACCTTATGCCTCTACTTGTACAGATCACTGAGATACATATCCATGTTGTGGGAAGACCCAGGTAAATGCTTCAGGCAGGTGTCTCCACCTTTGTTGCTGGTTGGGGAAATGATAAGTGAAACTGGACAGGAATATTGTTAATACATGTACAAGAAGGCTGAAAGATGCCATCCCTTCACTTTGATGGTCACATCTCATAGGAACTCCTATTTCCATGTGCCATGTCGATTGCTGCTTCATGCGTTGCCTACAAAAGGTAGGTAGAATGTGGCCCTTACATCAATTATAGTCAGCGGCTCTGATGTGGCCTTGAACTGACGGATGTGTGCTGAGGTGTCTGAATTAATGAAAGAAGACGATAACAAGTCAGTGTTTATCTTAGATGTTGCACACAGTGTTAACAGTAAAGGCGCAGAAGTTTTTCCTCATGTAAAATCTGATTGCTTTTCTCTTCAGAGGAGGACCGATATGATAGCTACTCTCGCATGATCTTGAAGTACTTCCTGGCAGAAGGAGTTGTTTGTCGACATGAACTTTTTGTGGCATCGGCTCAAGATAACCCAGATGACATCTTGCAGGTATGAGAAGAGTTATCATCTATTTTGATGTCCCAGGAAATAAATCAGTTGTACTGCAAAGTATGAGTGGTGTAACTACAAGACTTGACAAGCCAATCACAAATGCCAAGATGGCCTCAGTACATCATCTTCAGCACTGTCGACTCGTATTCTGTCAAAGTAACTTTTGAAAGACTTGTGTACTATTTAGTCACAAAACATTGTAGAACACTACTTTTTTTTTTTTTTTTTTTGGGTGGGGGTGGGGTCACAATATAATGGGCTTTCACTGTATAGTTAAACACTCAGCTTTCCTCACATGTGTTAGGGTCAACTAGGGTATCTGAGGGGTCGAGAGGGGCATGGTTGTGGCATTGTTGAAATTGTTTCTCGGCATATCAATCCCTGAAGAGAACCATAGCCCCAGAAGCTGCCTGCCACCCAGCAAAGAGGAGCAGGGTGAGGGAGCTGCTTCTCTCCCACTGATTGATAGTTGGAAGGTTCATAGCCTCACCCCCTCTTTGCATTTCAAAGACTTATTAAGAGAGGGGGGTTCCCAGTGGGAATATGTTGGATCTTTAGTATTTCCATAATTACATTTGCAGTATATCATCTTTAGATGCTAAAATTGCTTTATCATGGTAACATGTACATACAATTAGAAGTGAAGTTAAACAAGTTGCACTTTTAGCTTAAGGCACTATGTTAGCATTAGCAAAACATTTTAATTGCCACCCATTTCTACAGCATACCTGAGGCTATCTTAGCTGTATATAAAGTTTGTTTATATATCGTTCTTAGTATAAAATTTTATTTCCTGCTGCACAGATATTCAAAAGAAGTATAACTTTTAAAAATATCTGTTCCTTTAAACAGAGATGAAGTGCACATACAAAACAGAAGTGATTAACAGGATAAATGGGAAGGAAATAGAATAAAAATTGCATAGTTTGTCAGAGATTAATATATTTTAAATATTTTTAATTATTCTACAGCTCATTAGTTGTGCTCTTTATTAGAGACTAAATTGTAAAGAAAATGTAATTTATTTATTTACTTATTTTCAAATTTAACTTTTTTGAACACTGCTGCTTTTAAACAACAAGAGTCTGGTCCATGTTGTTTACCTGACTGTACAGTATATTTTAATTTATTGTCTGCTGGTCCTTGTTTGGATGGAATTTTAAATTCCAATTTTTATTCAGCCACAAGACTTTAGGCCATTTATCATTATTTTGTCTCAGGTTTTTGCACATGCACTCTTGTAACACAAAAACACATGACTCAATTAAGTGTATCAATGACATTGTTATAACATTTTTCCACAATTTATTTTGAATTGCTTCATCAAAATTAATGCAATCACGTTATTATTATCCCACTTGACTTTTGGTAAGTCAAACTGCTGTCATCCTTTTGACTTTTTTTTTTTTTTTACTGAATCTTTATATTCTATTTTATATTATATTTATACTCACACAGACTCCTATTTGTGCTGCTGTTGTTTGGCGCAATGTTTTACACTATTAGTGTTTAGCGTATTTCTTAGTTTAGCATATTAGTTTATATCTTAGATCCGTATTACTGTTTATTTTTGCACTTTATATTTTTGCTATTGTTGGATGTAATAGGACGCCTGTGTACACAATTTCGTTCCACCTCATGCACTACATGTGGTGCGAATGATAATAAAACCTACTTGACTTGACTTGATATATTTGATCATTTGCAGTCATATTTTATTTAATAAAAGTCATTGTGCTTTTTTTTAGGAACTCCCAGCTCCCATCTTGGATGATGTTGCTATTCACAAACCTGTGGAACAGCCTAGGTTGCCTTGTGAACCACACGGAAATTTGAATGCCATGAATATTGCCTGGCGCTATCAGAATCTTCCTAAAGTACAGGTAATTAAAACGTAAATAAAAATCTATGACAAGTGTTAGTTTTACTTTACCCATTTTTTTTTAATTTTATATTGTTGAACAAAGCCGAACTTGTGATTATCTTAAGTTCAGCATCTCTCTTATTAGATTGCACAGAACTGGATTTTTGCTCCTAGTGGTTTGACAATTGTCTCGACAACTAAACCCATCACCCTCTAAACCCTTTTCTTCATTGAATGAGGCCTCAGCCTCTCTTTTAAGAGCTGCACCAGATTACTCACACTTAGTTGGCAATAGGTAGACTTTTCACTGGTCCCCATCTCACATACACACATACTCACACACGCTTGCACCCCTGCTTAGCCTGGGAAACAGGAATACTGTGCATTGACATGTCTGCTCGCTCAACCCTATGACCCAGACCTGCACCTCTGTCTTCCCCTAAATCCCTGCCTTTCCCCCTGCTATGGTCGGCAGCTCTACACTCTTTCTTCCGCTTTGAGGAGAGGGGACCTTCCCCTTCTCCTTCTCTGCAGTCTACCCCAACAGAGTTGGTCTATAATCCATATCGCAATGTGGATTAACAGCACACAGTGTGTCCCTGGGGATCCTTTCCCTCTTTCTCTCTCTCTGGAAACTTCTTTATATCTGTGTCCTTTCCTCACCTCTCCCCCTTCCCCTGTAAAATCGTCTTTACAAACCACAAGTAAGCCCCACCAAAGGATTTGCATCCCAAATTCACCCCAAGAGTCAGCGCTTACTTTCCCCTTACACACACCTCTCCTGGCATGGCCCACTGTGTCGTTCTGCTGATGAAGACATCAGATCAAAGGTGAGGCCGTCAGGGCAGGGATGGAACGCTAAGCGGGTTGCCTAGCTCACAAAGAGAAGATGAGCCCCTGACCCCCCTTGCCCCACTGACCCCCTCGTTCTGCAGGGAGAGGGACACACCAGGGGCCCTAATCCAGATTAAGAGTAGATTAAGGGCCCCTCTAACAATAGAATCCCTGGTTTCACTGAGAAAGAAGAGCTAAAACTTTCTCTTTCAGCTGCAGGAAAACATCCGCCTTCCCCTGCTTCCCTGACACGTTCGCTTTCACAACCAGAAGTGGACATTTATGTGAAGAAATGATTAAGAGCCTGGTCGTAGTGGTTGTTTAACTTCTCTGCTGTAGGAATGTTGAGGAATGACCCATAAACAATGCAATTGCATTGCCATAGTATTGGAAAGTACATGCATTTAACACATTGCAAAGAAAGAAAGTTATCTTTTGATGAACTGCTTTATTTTGATGAACTGCTTTATTTTTACTTAATGTATTAAAATCAAACCAGTTGTTTAACTTTTTGAAAATAAGCAATAAAGTGTGACAATATTAAAACATTGATTACTAGAGATGCATTGATTACAGTTTTGTAGACTGATACAATTTTTTTATATTTTCACAGCTTTGACTTGCTAATACTAATTTCTCTTAAATATTTCTGGTTAACAGAAGACAAAATATCCATCCATTTTCATTACCCACTCTTTTGTACAGCGTTGCAGAGTTAGTGCCTGTCGCCAGCAGTCAGTGTGCAAGAGGTGGGCTGTACCCTGGGCAGGTCCCCAGTCCATCACAAGACCACGTAGAGAAACAAGACGGACATGCATTTACACCTAGAGACAATTTAGAGTTACCATTTGACCAAATGCATGTTTTTGATTTATTGGAGGAAAGTGATGTACAGTATCTCGAGAAAATCCACGTAGGTGAGAACATACACCCCCCCCAAACAGGTAGACTTCAGATGGGTTTTGAATCTGTTACTACCTTGTTGTGAGCTAACAGCTCTATCCACTCTAGCCATGCCACCCTCAGTAAAAATATATCTTATAAATTTTCAGATTTAATAGAAAATAACTTTTCTGTCATGCTTCGGTTTAGTCTCTGGCGTTCAGAGAGGAGAGTCTTAAAGTGTCCAATATTAAAGGTGATTAATCTGTTGAGTGACAGTCTGACAAAAAGCTTTCACACTGCTGCATAATACAATGTTTATGATATTGTTTTATAATATTTATGCCATTGGCTGCAGAAAAATTAGATTTTACCTGTAAAGGTAAAATGATGTAAGATGGTGTCCATGAAAATAAAAAGTAATAACAAAATGCTCTTATTTTATTCAGAGAAATGAATTTGCATTAAATGTTATCTGCTGGCTGTAAACAGGTAGTTGGTATTTAGTGAAGCGGTTTGGAGTTTGAATCATTTGTTGTATACAAAAAGTCCTTCACTGTCAGAATTTCAGTGTCAGAGTTAATCTGAAGTTGGTACTGTCAACCTCCATTTAATCAGATTTATCTTTCCACCTTCTGGCTAATCTAAGATTTTATGGTTTATTCACAATAAAATGTTTTATGTAAAAATGAAATAAAATAAAAAAAATCTATAATAAATCTCTAAAATCACTGGCCATGTTACTGAACTTTCTTTTTTTGTCACTTATAGTCTATAGCTAAACTCCTCCAGATAACTAGATTGTTGAGTTTTATATGAACAAAACTGACAAACATTAACAGTATATCAGTTATATCAGTTTATAACTCACTAACGATTATTGTTCACACATCTGCACCACATGAGAAATGTTCTCTACAAGATCGCTTTTAGAATCATTTTCAACTTGTTCCAAAATGATAGCTGAACAAACAGATGTTAGATGTTAGAATAATGAATCATTCCTTCTTTAGATTTTATTAATTACAGCCGGTCAGGCTGAATATTGGCCAGAGTCGGTTACAAGCCGATTCCGATTCCCATGTGCATCTCTGTTTCTATGAATTACTTTATTGGTCATATTTTTACTCTTAATTTTTAGGGATGCATGATATTATCGACATGGTATCGGTATCGACCAATATTAGCAATAAAGTTAAATATCGAACATCAGCCATTCCATCATAATAGCTCACCAATATAAA